CTAAAGCCAATTTTTGACACGTTAATTGGTGTTTGTCTATCACACCCACCTGCAATTTAACAGCAAGAAACCTTACCAATACTTACTTCCTGCTACCATCGAGAACATCATTGCCTCACCTGTGGAACTGATTGTGAGAATCAGAAACTTGAAGTGACTCCCAGAATTAAATGATATCAAGCGTTGTCCACTGATGGATTGGAAAGAGGGGTGGAAAGTTTGATAGTCATATAGTTAGCTTTCCAGTTATCTTCAACATTTTATACCTTATAGATTGTCCATGCACGAATAGGAGCATACGTTATCTCAGAAAACAAACAATATTTTTACCAATTGCATCTCTACCTTTCTGTTTATTTCTATTTCGCTTTGTTTTTTCGCATTGTAAAAGGGAGTTTACCCCCCTCCAGGATCTGTGCCTTATGGTATTAGTTGTATTGGGATGTATTTTATTACTTTCAAGTGTAGAAATATTTGCAGTATAGAAAATAGCATGGTGTTTAAAATAATACAACAGGTTGTAGAATCGTATCATGTCTCTAACATAGCCCGAGAAAGAGTGTATGTGTCCCCGCACCCCAGAGTAGTTTTTGGAATGATGCCATATGAATTTGTTATATGATATTGTTATTAACTATGCTGAGATAAGATTTCATTTACGAAGATCAATTGTTCAGCCTCGTTACAGGATCAGTTCTATGCCTCTGAATTTCTGAGATCTGGTTTGTTGTTACATGGTTAAAACTTAACCATTTATTTATGTTCAGCCATCTTAAAACTTTCTACATTATTAAATGTTACCAGTTTCGTTTGTTTGGTGTTGCCGTTATTGTTCTTTTTCCGTGTATGGAACGGTACTGAAGCAAGTTTTTGTGAGGTTAGAATTAAAACGTTTTAATGCCAATATTATAGAACAATACATCTTCCTGCTTTTCTTACACTTCAAATAAATACTCTAATATTGTTTTTTATTTTAATGCTATTAACTGTAGACGAGAGTAACTCTTTGTTTAAATGTTGAAATAACAATAGTTCTCATTTATGGATGATTTAAGCACTCTTCGTGATGAACAAATAAAGGCAAAGTTGGTAGCAATTGTCTATTTTATTATGACACTTTTAGAGAAAGTGTCTTGGAGGCTTATAATCCATAACATGGCCAGGTGGATAAGGCGCTCGACTCGCAATCTGAGTGTCGTGGGTTCGAATCCCTGTCACACCAAACATGCTCGCCCTTTCAGCCGTA